CACACATCCACCTAGGGTGTTTTTCAAATCGCCAGGTCCAGGACCACACTGTCAGCCATGTGGGATCCAGCTGCCTTAATCACCATGCCAGTTGCTGGCCCAATTTCGATTTTTTTTTTTGCATCAAAATTAATTCGTACTTCTGTTTTTCCATGAATCCAAAGACGTCTCCTCATATACAATAAGATTCATAAAATCAACAAGGCTAAATTCGACAAAGGAAGCTCTTGGAACAAGCCCTCACGTCATCACCTGGGCCATAATACCAAGTTAAAGGATGCAAGTAAAGCAGCAGATGATTTGAACATGAAACGCGAAGCTTACCACGAATGCTACGGAACTTCTTAGCGTGGACTCCCACTGGAAGCAGCTTTTCAGGAACTGCATCGTGTTCCATATGGCCAGAGTGATTCTTTTCACGCGGTCCACATCTCTGGACAAGATCTGATTTTTAAAAATGGAAAACCGGTCACTACCTTTCGAGAGTCCAAATAGTCCCCTTAGATCAGGTGGCCCTGTCATTTAAAGGATAGTCTGTATAGCTGCTAATGAAGAAAAAAATTAGGAGAAGTCCTCAGACTTCTAACATTCTTTTAAAAATACGATCGTCCATAGAGGAAAAAAAAGAAAACCCAATGCATTTTATAGCTCATTTGATAAAGAAGAACGTTTTTCAATAATGTTCAGCACAAAACACAGTGGGTGACAGCTACAGCCAGCAAGCATGTGGGGTGTGTGTGTGTGTGTGTGTGTGTGTGTGTGTGTGAAAGAGACAGAGACACAGAGACAGAGAGAAGACAGTGAGAGAATAAATGAAGGATCTATGTCGTTCAGTTTTGAAGCACATGGATAGATTTACAGTAGAAATACAAGCATGAAAGCTCACCTAGCTCTGATGCCTATAAGAAAGCATAGCTCTAGAGCCAGCAGGTGGTGTGGTGGCTAAGATGCTGGACTCCCATATGGCCAACTGCAGTTCAAGTCCTGGACCCGGCAGCTTGAAAAAAACCACACCAGAGGCATGTGTGTGCACCCAAAATCCCAAAAGGAGAATGGAGAAGAACAGAGTATAGTGTGGCCATCCCCTCGGGGGGTAATTGCTCACTTTCCCTATCTCTGTCTCTCTCTGTAGACTGCACTTGTCCTATGAGAAACACCTAAAAAAAATATTTTTTAAACATTCATCTAGTTCTGATGTCTGTAAGAAAAGTCTAGTTTTAGGAAGGCGATCCACTTTTCCCACCTCCTAGCTGTGCAACCTGGGGCAAGGCACTTAACCTCTCTTTGGAAATAAGATTGTAGTTCTAACCTTGGAGGTTGCTGGGAGGATGAAAGAGCTCAGAAAAATCCTGCCCAGAATGGGTGCTTTAAGCATTTGCATCATAAGCAAATGTTTCAGCGTTACCAAAATCTGGGGGCTCTAAGTGGTGAGAAGCAGGTGGCAAAGGTCCTCGCATACCCCAGGATTTCAGCCCCAAACCCCTGTGTTCTCTGAGCCCAAACTGGCCCCACGTGGAAGTCTTGTTTTGCAAAGGAAATGTCTTTTCTCTCGGTGGTGGGCGATTCATTTCCATTTGTTGACCAATCAGCCCATGTGCCTACCTCAATGAAGGTTTTAACTTTTAAGTAAACAGAGCAAAAGGCAATAATAATAGGGGGGGAAAAAAGACACTTAGTCACATGACACAAAATAAATATTACACTCGATGTTACTGCAGACCAGAACAAAACATTTGGAGGCTCTCCTCTAGAAGGCGTTTAAGGCCCTTCCCCAGCATGACCACAAGTTCATGGGAAACAAAAGGAGAAGATGCCACTATCTTTAACTGCTTTTTGCAAGCCACAGCTGCTCACCCCGAAGGAAGTGGTAGGAGTAATAAACACTTTCAGAAGAGGACACTTTGTTCTTCCTTGCACAACTGACCAGGGACAATCGGTACAGAGTGAAATCCTGAACTGTCTGACTAGGACAGGGAGGGGCTCAGAAAAAAATGGAAAGGTCATGGTTTAAAAAAAAAAAATGTACAACTTCCCCAACTAGTCCCTGACCTTCACTTTTTGAACTGATGAGAGAGGAATGTAGGGTGACAGGCCGAGGGACAGAGAGTTCATTCAAGATGGAGCGAAACACCGATGCAGCCCACGTTTAAAGGACAAGTGGTAGGAGCAGCCATGAGGGGAGGGGACCGGCAGGGTGAATCCCGGGCCAGAAGTGTCTGAAGATCTGCTCAGTTCGTTCCTTTATGGACTGGAGAGGAGGAATACCTCCCTCCAACTTCACAAGGCAGAGAAGGAACCAGTCATGAAAGCCAGGTAGGCAGAGCAGATAACCTTCAGGAGGACACTGACAGAGTCCCAATGGGAGTCACTGTTTATTTTAAGACAAAGGAGAAGAACGGCAGGATGACGCCTTCTGCTTCATCCAACGCGTACTTCTGGTCTTCCCTTTTTTACTGAATTGACTGAAGTCTTCTTAAGAATTATTTCATATTTATTATTGCTATTATTTTTAATTTGCTATAGGGCACATGCACTCACCAGAGATGGAGAGAGAGAGGGGAAAAGGGAGCAGGGGGCAGAGAGAGAGAGAAAGAGAAAGAGAGAGAGAGAGAGAGAAAGCAAGTTGCCAGATCCAGGACTCGAAACACGGTTGGTTGGCCATGTAGGAGCCCAGTGCCTTAATCACCAACCACACCACCTGCTTGCCCCTGAAGAACAGGAAGCGAGGAGAAGAAGTTGAGAGATAGAGAAGGGAAGGAAAAGAGGAAGAGAACCAGAGGAAGGGAGGCAGAGTAACAAACAGGTGAGAGCAGACAGGCATTTTCAGGACTGGGCGCCGGGGGCTCAGTGGACCCACCAGCCAGACTGGAGCAACTTACCTTTTTCGACAGCTTGCGGCTATCTTCGACAAAGCGCTTTTCTCTGGGAGCAAAACTCCTAATGCTTGCTTTGACCTAGAAAGACATCACTGTATTAAAGGGCAACATTTGGAGCTGACAGGTGGCGCAGTGATTAAGGGCTCTGGGTTCCCCTATGGCCGACCAAGGTTCAAGTCCTGGACCTGGTGGCTTTCTCTCTCACTCTTTGTCTCCCCCCCACCCCAGTCAAATTAAAAATAAATAAAGTTAAACAAAATAATTCTAAAAAATAAATGTAACATTTATATGGATTTCATTGTTCTTTTTTTCTTCCTAATGACTACAAAGAATGTGGGAACCAATACCTACTGACCCTGTGGCCACACTGTTCTTCTATATGTGTTTCTGGGGAACTCCTTTCCTGGGAGCCCCTGGGTAGGTCAGGTTGGATCAGGGAGGAGGTATCTCCACTTCGCTAATTCCACAGAAAGATTGTAAAACACCATAGAGGCTGAGGTTCAGAACATTCTCAAACTAACATCTCTAAAAGAGAAAACCTCTCTCACGCCATTGTGAACGAAGTTTTCACCCACAAGATCTGGAAGGTGAATATCCATTCCTAGCCTTTCTAGCTTTTAAAAACACCATTTCCACAAATAATCTCATTTTCTTGCTTTAACCCGGAAAAATAAGCCAGTGAGTCAATTTTTGCTATAGGGCACAGGTAGTCACCAGAGGGGGGGGGAGGATGAGAAAGCAAAGTCATCAGGTCTGGGACTCGAACTGCAGTCAGCCATGTAGGAGTCCAGTGCCTTAACCACCATACCACCTGCTGGTCCTGTGACCTACCTTCTTGTACAACTTGTGGCTATTATATACATTATAATCTATATATAGTATATATTAAATTTAACATAGGTAAGTATATATATATATTTATTTATTACATAATGTCAATACATATTTTAGTTAATATGTAGATTATTTAACATATCCCTCCCCCCTTTTTTTTAATCACTTTTTTCTTGGCTGCGCAGATTTACTGAGAATGAAACACCATCAACTGAGCTAGCTCAACAGAGAGTCTCTGCTGAAAGCTGAGGTGTGCTCTGGTTTTATGGCTGAGTTCCCCCCTTTCCCCAGGGGCAACAGGTTGAAACATTTTACATTGATTTGTATTTCTAAAGGCTGATTACATTTTTCTTTTTCTTCTTTCTTTTTTCTTTTTTTTTTTGGAGAGATTTTCACTGTAGGGCGCGTGTGCTCGCCAAACAGACAGAGACATAGAGACAGAAAGCGAGAAATCACCCCCCCAGGGGGGATGGTTGCGCCGCAATCCCTTCTCCTCCATTCTCCTCTCGGGATCTTGGGCACGCACGCACACGCGCCCGGCGTGAGTTTTAAGCCACCGGGT